TATTACCAGATACGGTAACAAAGGACTACTCAGCATAGTTGCCGTATGAATAACAAATTGTGCTAATAAGTATGAAGAAAAAATACGTGTCTGAGCGGGCGTCTGCAACAAAACTTAGCTAACAACCCTAGACGTGTATAAACAACACCCAACTATTTTATATATATATATATATATATATATATATATATATATATATATATATATATATATATATATATATATATATATATATGCCATTAAGCATTACTCTTCAAGTATGAAGGAATTCTCCTAGTTGCTGGCGCATTTTGTATACAGAAAAAAAATACCTTCTTTTCTGTCGTGCGACGATGACCTGGGGGTAATATATTTGACTGATGTTAAATCAGTCGGGTTTCGATCCCGGCTTGAAGCAATCGGAAGACGTCTAGCCACACTGAGGAGATGTGATACAACGAAATACTCTGTCTGTGGATGCCTACAAATATATAAAAAATACAAGTCAAATTTGTTATTTAGTTCCACCGATTATTTTTTTATAATTGTTCAATCCATTTTTCAAGAATCTTCAGCAATTAACTGCTGGCTTTCTCATCTTGTATTTGTATTTCGCACACAAACACACACACACTATTAAAAGGGAAAATAAATAAATCTTGCGCCAATGAAAAGTGCATATATATAAAGGAAAAACGAGAAATATAAACAATCAGTTTATTGATATCCCCTGACGAGTGGACGGAATAATTGCTGGGTGGGGTCCGTCTGTAAAACTGTAGAGTCGGGATGGCGAAGGTAACACCAATCAGCTAAGTGACAAATTTTATATTTGTATTATATATATATGTGTGTGTGTGTGTGTGTGTGTGTGTGCAACAGTTGTATATAATACCAAACAAGCTACATGCCGTAGATCCACCAGTTCGCACGTTTGGATCTTCCTCGTTCCCTTTGCATTATGTTCAACTCGGCCAGCTTCTTCCCGAGAATCACTAATTTGTGGAAGAGACTCTCGCAAGGATGTTTCCTCGATCGCTACAATCTTAACCTCTTCAGCTTTAGGCTCAACCGTTATCTATCCTACATATCCTCATAATCTGCATTTACTTCCTCTTCTTATGTCCATGCAACTACGCCATTCAGTAACCCTTCAGTGACCATTGGACCTTGTACTGAGTCAATATATAGTAAAAAGTTTATAACAAATTAGCCATAATAAAATCGAATGAAGCGAGTAAAATTCTCCGTCTACGGTCTGTCTTTTAGTCGATAAATATTTGTTGTAATTAATAATCAGTTATGAAAGTCAGGGCCTCTCGGCATGGGGGAATAGTTAACGAGCTAGTTTGGTTGAACATTACAACTGAGTAGTGAATTCGATCCTCACTATGTGCCCCATGCTTAACATTTGTTGCAAAAAATGAGAAGTGTCTCTACATATTAATTACACACTATTCCCGCTGTTCATAATAGCTGAGCTTTTGTTAAATAACTATCAATGCACCGGGTTCTATAGCCAAGGCATGTTCAGGGCACTGAGAAAGGATCATTCAGATTTCCACTACAAACTATATATATTAAACCCTTCCAGACATTTTATTATTTAAACGTCATATTAGTGGATAGCATATTTGAATAAACGCTTCGTTTATTTATTAAACAGTATATTTATTTATTTTCGTCTAGCAGCCTGAATATTCGAGAAATCTTATTAAGGAAAATAATATATATATATATATATATATATATATATATATATATATATATATATAACATCCTGTCCAGAACTGGTGCAAGGGTTTCGTAGTCCCTCACTCCCAACCGTATTTATGATATGTGGCCCCCACACTCTATTAAATCTCAATTAGTATCCATATAAAATACAAATTTATTTTATTAACTTAATTATGTACAATAATGGTTCACATGCAATATAGGTGAACAATTCAACTAGAAAAATTGAAAATAAATACAATGTTTCTGAATACAAATTAGAGACACATCATAATAGACCATACCATCTTAAATTAATCAACAATGTTTTGCGGCAATTTTAAGCACATTCAACATTACGAATAAAAAATGGAAAACTTTATATAGTGTTTTTACAAGACACAGCAGGAGCAAAACAAATTCTGGGATTCGGACTAAAAAAATGACGTCAAACTGCGTGAAAATATTTCATCCTTTCATAGTCACTTGTACTTAGATAAATTTGTAATGTATATAAATGTAGGTAGACCCTCCCCCCCCCAAAAAAAAACCCCAAACAAACGTAGATACGATAGCGAGGGTCACAAAGCACTGCCAGGGACCCCTAAGCATGTTTATCCGAAGAGGTCAGTGGTAGTACGCGCCGGATTTGATCCCGCCTTAATGGTGATTTCATGTTTAATTCGTTCTTCACATAGATAGAGCTCTGACGAAGGTGGAATGAAAATTGGTTAACCTTTTTTTTTCCTCCTTTTTTACTTTCCGATTAACCTCTTTACTATAACTATAAACACATTTTGATATTCTTTCCTGTTGTTTGACATTAATATTTTCTTTTTGATTGAAATTATTGTTAATAACTCCTCGTATTAATTTTATTCTTTCTTATTTATTCTCCAGCCATAAGGCCTCTGATCGGAAGATTGGACGTTTTGAAGAGCGTGGGAACCACCTCTTAATCACTGTTGTTCACAGGTCCATCCTGACCCCGGGGTGGTAGCACCTGTGAGGGTCACAGTTACGGGAAAATAATGAACCTCCAAACAAAAACAAAACACTATAAAAGTATAAAAAGACATATAGTAAAATTACCAACAATACCTATTAATAGTTAGATTACTAACAATGCATATTAATAGTAAAATTAGCAACAATACATTTTTAAAGAAAAATGAATATTCATACATTTTTATACCAAAATGACCAGCAATACATTTTATTTGTAGTTGAAGGCATACAATTGCATTCAAAATATATTTATATGAAGTCATAAAATTGTATTCAAAATATTTAGATTTCGGCATTAAATAACAGAATTTGATATGCGGCTAAACAAAGTCAACGAAACAACCAGCATGAAAGAACTCTTTCATGACATTCATCCATATAATATATTCAGTCAGTCAGTTATGTGATACACGCTTAGGCGATGATGTATCTTTCGAAGCAGATTGTTTCCCGCAGTAGGTTGCCATTTCTTTCTGCGGTAGACCAGTTGCCATCCAAGGCTATAGAGCACGATCTGTCCTGCTATTTACCCATAGCTGTGTTGGAGAAGAAGAGGATACATACCTTTCCCAAGGGTATTAGCACGTAAGTGAATGTAATGGATTCGACTGGAATTCGAACTCTGCTCTCCGATTCCTCAATCCATTACTCCACCATACAATTTCTTAAAGTTATCAAAAAATATAACTTCAAAACTACAACGTAAAAAACACATAATTATATCCACACAAAAGTGTATATGCACAAAAGCTGAGTATCATCTACCATGTATTCAACTGTGAAAGCAGAATAGCATATCTAATTTTTATACTTCAAAGCTCACAAGAAAATTAAATTTCGGTTTTAAATGACCCATAAGGAGTCGATGCGCCGTTAAATAAACAAATCAGTCTTATTTATTCGCTCTCGTATTTTTTTTTTTTTTTTGCCAAATTCGAGTCTGATTTCTCAGTAGAAATCCTTTTCATATTTTAGGTTGAATGATAAGTCAGTCAAGGCAATATGGGTGCCGCATGAATAATTTGGATCACCCTCAGTTGGATACCGTCTAAGTGGACTGGGTTACCCGATATAAAGATATTTCTAACTGGGTCACACATGCAAATTTATGCTATTTATCAAAACTTGTCAGCATATCACGTACATTTGGCTATGATACATGTGCCTGGTATGCAGCTATCAGACTCGGTTTCATGATTGTTTATATTTGGGCTTTCTATATTTGTATCGCAGCTTCACTTTTGTTGGCTTGCTGTTCCCTTATTCAATAATAGTGATGATGATGACGATGACGACGATGACGATGATGATGACAAACGACGAGCGGCGGTCTTAAATACAAGTACGTAAATCGGTGGTTTTGTAATGATTGTTTAATTCATAATAGTTTAAATGACTTGCCGAATTACTTGCTTCTTTTATGGACGAAAATAATTTTTCAAAAAAAACTCATGTTTAAAAAAATAATTAGATTTGCGTTCTTTTTCTGTCGCTTAAATAAAATGAATAATAATAATAATAATAATAATAATAATAATAATAATAAGAAGAAGAAGAAGAAGAAGAAGAAGAAGAAGAAGAAGAAAAAGAAGAATTCCAATTCATCTTTTCAAATACGATCATGAAATAAGAATAAATCGTGAGGAATTATTAATAGTTTTCTTCTTATTTTACTGTTTTATTAACTTTTTTTTTTTAAGTTTATCTTAGGTGAATATTTTCAATTTATAACCGATGACTATCTAACAATATTCAAAAACGAGGATTATTTAGAATCCACTTTTTTCTATCCTCATATTTTAGCCATATTCCTCTCAACAATAAAACTGAATTCAATTCCACATTCTTTTTAACGTCTTAATCTCTTTACTCTTCATCCCCCCCACCTCCAATTCTCTTCTTTAAACATATTCATACACCTGACACGCATGTACACCCAGAGTTTCTTGATCTGTTTTTCCTTTGAATCTTGTCCTTACACTCTATACTTCCCATAAAAAGGGGGAAAAAAAAGAATCGAAAAGACACTATAGCTTCATTCTCCTCTCCCCCACCAACACCGCTATTACGAATATCGTCCCTATCCAAAAACCTACACTAAATATTAAAGCTTCCCTCCCCCCACCAGCTCCTCCTCCATCTATTTGTGTGTTGTCGTCGTCATCGTTGTCGTTGTTTCAACTCCTGGCAGGAAGCTAACATTCTATTCAACAAATGCAACCGTGTCACGATATTCACATTTCACATGGATGGTGCGAAGTTTTGCAAGTTGCATCTCTTTGACGAGATCCGCATTTTCATGGGTCATGGGACCAAATGGCACAACCATTTTGAGCAGACTCGCTTCCTGGGCGGAGCCAGCCTGGAGGGAGCGACGCATTGCCTGGCGCTCGACTCGGCAGGCTCACCATTGTCCCCGCTTCTTCGCTGCACGTTAATCCTTGTGTGTGTGTGTTTAGGATGGAATCGCAGGGTAGAGACAAAGAAAGGGTGTCAGTATGGATGAGGACGGGGAAAGGGAAATAGGTAGAAAGCAATGAACACTGACGGGTCGGTAATGTGAAAAAGAGAACTACGGGAATATCCTGTCGAAGAAAAAAGTATACAGGGAAGGAGAATAGTCATTAAAACAAAATGAAAAATTGGCAAATGTGTAAAAATCGTGATTCAAAGTTGACGATATTTTAAGAAATTGATCCATATGTGAGAGTGCACGTAATTCTCTTACAATGTAAGTTAACGTGTTCTTTTGTATCTATGTGTATCATTGCGAACAAATTTAAAAGCATAGAATAATGCTGCTATTAACGCATAACTTCATATACGCAGTATCTCGATCTGTTGTATATATATATATATATATATATATATATATATATATATATATATATATATATATATATATATATGCTGCCATAATCCTTTGCCTTCAGTTAATATTTGGTGTTACAAGGAGTTTTGTTGGTCTCTCGCTCAACTGCGCCAAACACATAATAATCAAAGTGGTTGCAGTCTGGTGAATTAGGTAACCAGACGTAAGGGCTGATGTGGTTACAGAAATTGTCTGACAGCCATGACTGGGTTCTCCTGCTTGTGTGGCATGGTGCAGAGTTCTGTTACCGGACATAGGGTCATTCATTTGCCACCCTCTTGACCGAGGGTAGCACTACCTCTTCAAGACAATTGATATGGAACTTTGTATTGAATCTAAAGTTTTTTTTCTTATCAGAACGATCAGAATGAGTTTTCCTATCTGCCGTACCTTCGCAATCACCATTACACTCATCCAAATGTTTCCCAATATATATATATATATATATATATATATATATGTGTGTGTGTGTGTGTGTGTGTGTGTGTGTGTGTGTGTGTGTTTATATAAATATAAATATATATATATATATGTATGTGTAACATATTATATATATTATTATTGATATATTATATCTGCGGTACTTATTAGAAAGTGCTCAATATCAGAGATAGAGCTAACATATTTGGTTGAATTGATGTGAGTTTGTGATCCTGGGTTTCACGCTCCTGCGTGTCTGACGATCACAAGAACGTGAACCCCAGGGTCACAAACACACATCAATCCAACCATATATATATATATATGTGTGTGTGTGTGTGTGTGTGTGTGTGTGTGTGTGTGTGTGTGTGTGTGTGAATGAGTGAAAGTCGTGTTAACACGTACCCTCAATCAATCATAAAAATAAATAATATAAAAAAAATAGGGAAATAATAAATAATAAACACTCCAAATACCTCTGTATATGGATCAGTTATAACAAAAATATAAACGAGGATTTAAGGAAATTGAACAGAGAACATCCTTCGCTGGAGGTAGTTTCGTACAACGCTGCAAATTGTTAGAAAACCAAATCATGAACCTAAAAATCAATTCATGCCCTTAAATAGCTCCATTCGATCGATGGATGTCATGAATTTGTGCCAAACTCGTTCAAGAGAGATCGAAACTGTCAGCTGTTTTTTTTAAATGCCTTCTCAGATCAATGATTAAAAATTGCTTCGAGCGAATGGACTATGTAGGTCTTAGCAAGAACCACTGTGGACTGTCGCTAAAAAATAACAAAATACTTTACCAAATAACAGAAGCCACATTCCTTGAAGGATTTCAACAGCAGCAACAGCTAAAATAGATATCATATTTATTAACACGAAGAGAAAAAAAAAATGACACAATCAAGTGTGGTAGCTTTCGACACTATTTCAAACAAAAGGTTAGGAAGGAAACCCCAAAAAGAATATTAGAGAACTTGAGAAATTTACTTTCCTGAAAAATGCTTTCAACAGAAATCTTTTTATAAATTTCAACAAAAGTATCACTGGCAAAACTGGCTAGCCATTGAATGCCGAATGTCTGCTTATAATGAAATAGATAATATAAATATGCAGGGTTCGATGGGTAAATTGTCACCATTTTATATTTTTAATTTCGCGCATGCGCGATGTTTGTTGTTGATTCTGTCGAGTGCACAGTGCAGTAGGGTCAGTTGTGAAAAAGAGCATGACGCAATTCACTCTACCAGAAATTTAGAAACTGCATGTTGTACTGCTTGGCTTTCGCACCGGAAAATTCAATACGAACATTTCAGAGTGTTTGAATGTCAATCTGAGGACAATGCAGAAGAATCGGAAACAGTTCGATGAGTGTAATGGCGATTACGAAGGTACGGTAGATCGGAAAACTCACTCTGATCGTTTTGATAAAAAAAAAAAAACAAAAAAAAACTCCCGAATTTGTGGGTGAGGGATTCAGACTCAACACAGAGGTCTATATCAATTGTTTTGAAGAGGTAGTGCTACCCTCGGTCAAGAGGGTTGGCAACTGAAAGATCCTATGTCTGGTAACAGAACTCTGCACAATGCCACACAAGCAGAAGAACCCAGTCATGTCTGTTAGACAATTTCTATGTCCACACGAACCGTTACGTCTGGCCACCTAATTCATCAAACTGCAACTACCTTGATTATTATGTGTTTGGCGTAGTTGAACGAGAGACCAACAAAACTCCTTGTAACACCAAATATAAACTGAAGGCAAGGGTTATGGAAGCATTCACCAATTTAATTAAAGAGACTGTCCAGAAGATTTGCAGAAGTTCCCGAAGTCGTTTGGAGGCCGTGATTGAAGCTAATGGCTATTTTTATTGAATAAATTTACTCCTTACTATTTTAAGATATTTTTGTAAAACTTTGGTAAATATATATGTTAAAATGAGATATCAATGTTATTTTCATTTTTGTGTAATTTAGACGACAATCTATCCATCGGACCCTACTCTATGTTTCTTTCTTTATCTCTCTCTCTTTCTTTATCTCTCTCTCTCTCTCTCTCTCTCTCTCTCTATCTATCTATCTATCTATCTATATATATATATATATATATATATATATATATATAATAAATTAACAGATTTCAAAATATGACTCCATCGCTACACAGGAATTACCACGTTTCAAAAACCGAAGATAAAAACTTCAAATTTAACAATATAATTAAATTAAAAGCATCTTTTCTGTTTCATCTTCAAACGAATTTTGGAATAACTTATTTTTAAATTTCCTGAGTTTTAAACGCATATACAATTCATAATTTTTTGTTTCCAAGGATACAGAGAAATCCAATCATTTAGGGGCAGTAGCGTGTTCATTTTTATTTATTAAATATTATTGTATTAATTATGAGTTACGTTCGAAAAAGAGCTTAAGTCTAAGTAAGGTAGGGGTTACTGTTCTTTTTTTTTATATATATATATATATATATATATATATATATATATATATATATATATATATATATATATATATATGTGTGTGTGTGTGTGTGTGTGTGTGTGTGTGTGTGTGTGTGTGTGTGTGAAAATATAGAAAATAGGAAAGAACTGGTTAGGTAAATAATCCAAAGCTCTTTAGTATTTTAGTTATTATTTTTAGAAAATAGTGCTCGATACAAAAGTAGAGCATAAATATAATTATTTATTTAAAAATATGATTCCAACTCGCGACATAAGAGGTCTCATGTTTCAAAACAAGGGCCGAAAACTTCAATATAATTATTTGAATTAAATTGAGTTAAAGTAAGCTCTGTTCCATCTTCAAGCGAAATTTTTTTGGAATAACGTATTTCTGAAATTTACGTGTTTTAATAATTGAAATCAAAATTTCCATGCTAACAGCTAGGGCGAATTGTTTAAATTGGGTAGGCGTGTGTTGGGTGTTAATAATAAGTATCAGTATAGAGTTACTTTCATAGATGTCAAGTCAGGGTAAGGTGGGGGCGTCTAATTTTGAAACGGAAGATGTTTTAGCCTAGTCTGGTTTACGTGTCTATGGAGATTTATTTATTTTTTTTATTTTATTACTCTATGAAAGGGATTTGGGCATAAAAAAAAAAACCGCCGTAACATTTGTTTTTTGACGACTTCGTAAAGGGTTATCTTTTTTGTAGGGTATTTAAACTATTTATTTGTGCTATGGATTATAAAATTATTATATTGTATGCTTGTTTTTAGCTAATTATTCAAACCATGAATTTGATGATGTCGACAAAAAACCGTTAACTCATGTCTATTGTTTAATAGATTATTATTATTTAGAAACTTAATAATGTGCAATTTCTCATGGAGGCACAAAGTCCATGGGTAATCCCAAGTTTTACATGTTCTACTCCTGTTTATAATTTTCCATTTTACTTTTGGTGTCCTATTTATTTCCTTCAGATGCCAAAAATATTTAGATAGGGAAGTCTAATTTCTTTTATTTATATTGTTGAAAGAACACTTATGCTGCCTCCATCTAGCTTTAAAATCATTCTTCGTGGACCCAATGTATATCATATTAGTACTAGGACTCTCAGTGGATGATATAGTACAATGGTATACCACAGATTTGATGCAGCATTTATTTTCTAATGGGCAGTCTTCTAGGTTTCTACAATTACATAATTTTTCCCTGTAATTGTCTGATTTAAGTGTAGGGTTTTTATTAATACTATTCAGGCATGGGGGTTTGTTCAAGATCTTATTATTGTGTTTTTTTATTATACCTTCTAGATTTTCATTGCAGCTGTAACTCAATTTTAGGGTGTTCTTATTAAATATATTACTAAGCTTACTATTGGTGGGGAAGTGATTATCAATTAGAGCTAAGAATTTCTGTCCTAGTTTAATACTAACCATTTGGTTGAACGGAGGGGTATACAAAATGATTTTTTTCCTGTTTTTTTTCTTTTGGCCAGTGCAATTGTCTCTATAGTTAATGTTTAATGTCTCCACACATTCAGACATACAGACACACACACACACACACACACACACACACATATATATATATATATATATATATATATATATATATATATATATATATATATATATATATATATATATATCACAAAATCCATTTAAAATTACTATACATATATAGTTAAATGGATTTCTTAAAATTCGACATTGTTTTTTTTTATTGCTGTAATTATTATTTTAAGTAGCTACATGTGTTTGACTTGACATCCTTGCTTTTTTTTATTTTCACAAACAGTGAAATCAATATCAACCGGCCTAGATCGGAAAGACCTACAGAAGGAAAGTATGCCTCTAGACAGTAATCGAAAATGTATTTCTTTTTTTCCAGCAGCGAAGCCACTAATATAGCTTAACTTTGACTCAATTTTCACTAATTACATCGCTTGATCCATCCTCAAATATGGGATATGGCTTTTAAATTCTGCCAAGGTTTTATATTATCTTACACGTGGATATAGAAATCAAAACCATCGAAAGTGGGATCAGCAATTGAGTGTCTCTATATATTTAGTGTATATAATTGACTATCCTTATATATATATATATATATATATCGTCTGTAAAATTGACTGTCTCTCTCTCTCTCTCTCTCTCTCTCTCTCTCTCTATATATATATATATATATATATATATATATATATATGGTCCTTTGAAGTCCTAATGGACGAAACCCGTCAGAAGAAAACCTTTTCCACTTTGTCATATTTATTTCCACTAAAATTGCCTTCTTTGATATATAAAAATTTATATATCATTATCCCATAGATACATACACGCACACACACACACACACACACACATATATATATATATATATATATATATATATATATATATATATATATATCAACACAAAGTCCATTTAATAATTACTATGAATATAGAGTAATTGTTAAATGGATTTTTGAAAATCCGACATTATTTTTTTATTACTGCATTTATTATTTTCAATGGCTACACGTGGTTGACTTGACATCCTTGTCTTCTTTTTATTTTCACAAACAGTGAAATCAATATCAACCGGCCTAGATCAGAAAGGCCTAGCAAAGAAAAAAGTATGCCTCTAGACAGGAATCGAAAATGTATTTCTTTTTTCCTCCCACAGGGATACCCTTCCTATAGGCAAAGTGCGCCATTATTAACTGGGCTACGGAAGAACTTCATGATAAAGCATAGCTCAATTACCCACCGAAGGAATGCACACCTCTCCTCGGGACCTCTTCAATTCTACCTCCACCATGTGCCCGAAACGTAAACACAGTCATTTTTAAATTGATGTTTGAAAATGCGACATTATTTCTTATTGTTCTAAACATTATTTTTACTTAGCTACACGTGTTTGAGTTGACACCCTTGACAATCCTCAAACAATGAAAATAATATCATCAATCTATTATTTTCATTAAACAGAGCACATTTTTTTACACACACACACACACACACACACACACACACACACACACACACACACACACACACACACACACACACATATATATATATATATATATATATATATATATATATATATATATATATATTTCCTGCAACAATTTGAAAATCCTGCGAATTTTAAATTTAAAATTCGTAGGGGAAAATGGACATTGACTAATGGTATCTTAATTACAGTAGTAAGAAAAAAAATTTGCTCTGTTTAATGAAAATAAACATTGAGCGATCTTTGTGAGTCAGTTTTAACATTTAATATTTAATATTTCATGTATGTATATATAAGATAAAATATAAGAAGAATATATATATATATATATATATATATATATATATATATATATATATATATATATCTGTGTGTGTGTGTAAAAAAAATATGTAAGATATATATATATATATATATATATATATATATATATATATATATATATATATGAAAGCAAAAATACATGTTAAAAAAACAAAATTCTGAATATGCATTATTAATGTTAAAATAAAAGTCGACGTCGGACGTTTCGGTCTATTTAAAAACATCTTCCATCGTCTTTTTGTGTTAAATTAATTAACATTATAATGTTAATTTTGTTTAAATGAAAATGTCCATGAAGATGGTCTTAAATAGACCGAAACGTCCGACGTCGACTTTATTTTAACATTAATAATGCATATTCAGAATTTTGTTTTTTCTGTATTTTTCTCTCATACTGTCGGATTTATATCCATATATTTGCTTACATATATATATATATATACAGGCAGGTTAGGTATTGCTTAAACCGAGTGAAATTATTGAATGTACGTGTTAAATATATAAAGTAAAAGATTTCCAATTTAGTGTATATTTATAATTTAATGCTTGAAATTCAGTGGATAATTAAATAAATGTTTATTATTTTCACTTTGTCTAGTCAACGTGCCATTTGCTAAGACGAAACTAATTCTGCCTTTATTTTTGTTTTTATAAAAATGTTGAATGAAAATTTAATGACTTTTTCTCCTTCCTCTCCATTATGAAAATTTTATCTAAATTTCTTTTCAATATATTTTGAAATTTATTCTTATCGTTATAATGCTTCTTATTTTTTTCTTTTATTTTTTTTGACGTTCCGAAAGTAATGCCACCTATTTATTAATAGAGAAACTTCAACAGGTACAGGACAACGACGGCGCTAAAAAAAAAAAATGATGGAAGATGTGAGGGTGCTAAATCAGATGCTAAAAGTATGAATCTAAATCAAGGAAAGATATAAAAAAAAAAAAAAATTATTAAGAGCTACAGAGGACATGATCTACGTCCTGGGGATGGGCACATAAAGAGGTTTCCATAATTTATATCTCGCAATTAATAGCAGAAGTGATTTTAGACAAATGACACAACCCAGGAAAACCCATAGTTTCGGCCCCAGAAGTGAAATTTGTTTTTCCAGTTTAGTTTTCAATTCTAGGAAAAAGTTGGCAGAAAGGAAGCCCCATTCCCATCCCCTCTAGCTCCCCTCCTGCGCCGTGGATGCAAGAAGCACAAAAAAAAAAAAAAAAAAAAAACACCGTGAGCAGGTTTTTAGTTACAATACTCTATTTTTCCATGTTTAACAAACGTCGAGGTGTATACTTTATTTTCTGCGCGGAGGAATTAAACGACGCCTCAGTACTTCGAACGTACTTTCATGACAGGCACAATTTTACCAGACTGCGGTTCAATTGTAAGTAATAAGGCCAAAAACAAATTAAGGGTTATTGATAAGAAGGTTCAACATCAACTGATATGCCACCAACATCAATCTCTACGACATAACCCAATATAAGCTTTACTATCAGGGTTATTCTCATACTAAAGGTCTAATTATATCGGGTGAATGCGTTGAGGTTATCAACAGGAAAATTGGGCATGGTGTGTGTTGTAACCTAGGGAAGGTTACTGAATAGAATACTCAAACGAAGGTTGGTAATGAACGATAATACTTAGGACAAGAAGAACACATATAAGATTCGCCAGCGGCGCGTAGGAGTAGTAGTCAACTGCTAGAAGTGAGTCAAGGGAATCTTCATCTGCAGGATATCTACCAACCACCCCACGCGGTCAGATGTGGCACAAGGCTGAATTTAATGTGAGGTATCCGATCCTGTAGGCTCGACCAAAAATTCCCCGTAAACACCATTGTTGTGGTAGGATCCACCTAATTTGCATAGTGGAGTACCGACCATATAAATATGGTTGGTACCGGGAAGAGAGGGAGGAATCAAGAGATTCAACCAGAGACTCTGCCCGACTGCGACTCAGTCAACACATTCTCCAGGAACGGTCTTCCCAGGAATATACAAAAGACTATATGTAAATATTGTGTACACTTTCTTGTTTCAATACATTTTGTTCTAAGTACATTTTGTGTTGCATTATTATTCCATGCATTAGTCAAGTTTCAACAACCATATAAAACGGAGTCGGGTAGCTGTTTCCCGAGACGAGAGTCTGCCTTTCGACATAGCCTTGTCTGGGGATCCTCTCTGCCCGGAGGCAAAGAGTTTGAGCAGCAAAGTTGGAGACGAATCTCCAACTGCAGACCAACATACAGTATTTACTACTGTATTTATGTGAATGGGGTCATACCCATTATCGTCCGTAGGTATGCTACAACAGCATGTCAAGTTAAAATACGAGCTGCGGTTGCGTTCATCTTCATATAAATATCGTTGAAAGATATGAATCAATCTTTTCTCCACTCAAACAGAGAAAAGAGGGCATTCAAGCCTTGGTTGGCAACTAGTCTATGAGAAATACAACTCTGAATTCAAAACCGGTTGGGCGTGAGACTCGCAACTTCACTGTGGGACCAATAGGGCAACCATACTCCACAAGGAAATCTACAGGGTTAGTATAACTTACATAATTATCTGAAACGCATGACATAAGTAATTAGTGAGAATAGGTGTCTGATATACATTGGTTGTGCACAAAGTTTCTCGGTCCAACACAGATCCCAAAATCTTACCAAATGACCAAGCACCAGATTTTTTTTTCTTTTTGATTGAGTGATTCTTTTTTTTACGGCTTATTAACCCTTTTTAAGTTAATTATAGCTAGAAAATATTTTTAGATTGTAAGAATTTGTTCGCAATAATAATGATTTAGTGATGCAAGTCTTACTAATTAATCCATAGCTGAGGGAATAGGTGGATTCATACCATTTTCAAACGTATTTGTGCGTAAGTTAATATAACGAACCCAACTGGAATTGAAAATCGGCTCTTCAATTAACAATTCCGAACCATTATCCATTACACCACCCGCACACCCAAGCTTACAGCACCTGGTATTTCCAAGTGCTCATGCCTCTAGGTATTGGCCAGGCTCGACGTTGCTTAACTTCGGTGATCGTACGGGAACTAGTGTTTCAACGTGGTATGACTGTAAGCACTTTCTTTGTTAAAGAACCTCTTGTTCCGGGCCGAAAACTCTTTAGCCTCCACCACCACCACCACCACCACTCGGTATGCTATCTAGACTACACAACGGTTAATCACTTATACATACATACATACATAAGTGCCCACATTCACAAACCTATGTCCATATGCATAAAGGCACATGAACATCATTTGGTACTCAAATATATGTAAACGTCGACAAAGAAAAATCTGCAAGTGTTACAAGGGCGGAAAATAAAATCGGTAGGTCGAATTCAAACTCCAGCTTCGTCTGTTGCGTTTACACCGCACTTATGCCCTTCTCCCAGATAAGGCTGGAGTCTCTGTTCTTTGGTAGGGCAATCAGTCCGTGGGAAGGAAAACTTTGAGTCCATTCCGCAACACCCAGAGCTCCACTAGCAGGCCATGGGTCAGCATAGCAGCCTAAGGACCCTTACTCACCAGAGCATTGAGGAGGACCCGAGCTCTGTATTGAACTATCAAAGGTCAATCGAAAAACTACTGGACGAATGTGAATACTGTGTGACAGGCTAAACATTTATCAGTTGTAGATGGCTGCAGAGAATACATAGGCGCCATCTACCGGAAATATCTTGGAATCATTGGAATCAGGCAAAGGAAAGTAAGCGCAACATCAAGGGATATCCAACCAGCAACTGAATATGAACCATTGGATCTGACTCAAACGAAATGATGAAAGTTAGCTAGAGAAAGAATGAGAAGTTGACAGACATTAAACCAGTCGAGCAACATTGACTTAGACCAGTGTGCAATAAAATCTTTTGAGAGGAAGGCCCTTAAACGAAGAGTAGTCTCCCCTGATGCTCCAGAGCATTTGATTGGTACCACTTGCAAGCTGTTTTCAGATTCCTATTCTATATAACGTGTCTCTACAAGACGTGGGTAATAATGGCTCTTCACAACTACCTATTCTTTGTAGCTTTTAGTAATGTTTCTCTTTTTGCTATATCACCACTCTCCGGGAGGTAGTACCTGTTAGGGTCCTAGCTATGGGTAAATAGTGAACACCCAAACAAAAACAAAACATTATGAAAATATGAAAATACATTTTTATATAAAAATACCAACAATACTATTTATAGTAAAATGCCAAAAAATATTTAAATATTATTTTAAATACCAAAAATATTTAGATATTATTTTAAATGACAAAAATATTTAGATATTATTTTAAATACCAAAAAAGATTTAAATATTATTTTAAATACCAAAAATATTTATATATCATTTTAAATGCCAAAAATATTTAGATATTATTTTAATTACCAAAACTATTTAAATATTATTTTAAATACCAAAATATTTAGATATTATTTTAAATACCAAAAATATTTAGATATTGTTTTAAATACCAAAAATATTTAGATATCATTTTAAATGCCAAAGATATTTAGATATTATTTTAAATACCAAAAATATTTAGATATTATTTTAAATGCCAAAAATATTTAGATATTATTTAAATACTTAAATATTTAAATATTTTTGGTATTTAAAAGAAATCAATAAAACCCCCACAGTAAAATGGAAATAATTAAAAAAACGAGAATATGTAAGTCCGTAAATGTCCCATGGCACTTTTGTCTACATGAAAAGCTATACGTTATAAAGTTTCTTAAAAATAATAATCTGTTAAATCAGCGAAATGAGCTTACAGTCATATGAGGATATTGTAAAATGTTCACTTTAAAATATAATCAGTGAATTTTCACAAAAGTCTATGTATTACACTTATATATCCATTATTTTATTATATAATATGTTACATGGAATATTAATTTAATTGGTTGATTTTTAATTTTAAATTTCTTAGTATTAAGAAGATATAATAAATAAAATATGAATTGTAAATCGGTTCAAAAATATATAAAATTTTTGATCATACTAAAGGTCCTAAAATATATGTTAAAATTTTTAAAAAAATTAACCCTTTGTCTGAGATATATATATATTTCTAAGAATATTTCTTCGTAACTTAAATGAATACTTTTTTGCCAGAAGTAAGGTGTCGTGCCATCAATATGACAGTTCCCCAAGACATGTATGAATACCACACAACTAACCTATATTTTTAACTTTTCAAATTTAGCGTTGACTTTCTTTCTGATTAGTTAAAAGAGACACACCCATAAGAACTAAAAATCTGGATTCCTCCACTCCATATTAACTCTTTAATAAGCAAACATAATGTTTTCTATTTTCAAATGTAAATCATTTTCACCAATGTTACCGAACATTGCCTGATGACGAGATAAAAACATTAAATCTCGAAACATAGAAATTTCCGTGACGCAATTCAAAATATTTTTTATAAAAAATATCATTAAAAATATTATGCTCTACGTTGTATTGAGCACTTTTTAAAATGTAAAGTCTCGAGTGACCTAACGGTTAATACGAGATCAGACACTGAGCACTCGCTTCGCATGAAAATCACATTATTCCTTGATCTTTGGGCTTTTGAACCCTGAAACTATCGACCGGCAAAGAGAAAGATCGGTTCGCAAAGTTCATTTCCTCATAGGAAAGTCAGCCTGAAAGGTACCCGAGTCGAACATTAATTATGCCTTCTTTAAAACCCTGCGCACTTTATTATCCGCGTGTTAAAACGTGCTTTAGGAACACTCTTTGTTGATTTCTTTCAAGAGCAGGCAAAACCCACGAGTAAGATTGAAAGAGTTAAAAAGTTACTGAGTGAGTGAGAGGGAGAGAGGGGAGGGTGAATGAGGGAGGGTGAGGAGAGGGGAGGGAGAGAGAGAGATAGAGAAAGTATATTAATAAACAGAAATGTAAAGAAGCAAGCGGAGAGATAGTGAATGGAATAAAAATAAATTTGATTCGCAAAGTAAAATCCGAAAAGCGAACAGAAACAAACTTTAAAAGCCTTAAACGGATATTTTTAAATGGCTTTGAAGTTAGAGTATTAGACTTAAGGCACTGAAGGTTTTTGACACTTCTTTTTTTCCCCTGTCAGATAAGTAAGGCCTGTTAAAGAGATATTTATCGACACAGGCGACGAAAGGATACCCCCCACGTCTCTGTTGTACGTGACTAAAGAATCAAATGCTTTCGTTAAATGTAAAGATTGAAACAAATGTAGAAAATTCTGCGAGAGCATTCAGAATAGAAAGCTGAGGATTTTTGGGTTCAGATGAGGTAGAAAAAAAAAAGGTGGGGGTCTGGAATGCATGGATAATAACGAGGAAAATGTCGTGAAAGGAAACACATCGCCAAAGAAATAATAATTTTATTATCCAAAAATTCTACAGGAATATAAAAAAAAAGTGAAAAAATGGCTTTAATTTTCGTAGAATGGAAATAAAATAGATGACTCTTTTTAGCATTTTATTCCTATGAATACCAGTTTGTATTAACACGAAGACACATACATGAAAGCGGTACACACACGCACGCCCCCGAAAACATACACATCCACTCCCACATTCAGCAAAGCCACCCACATAGACACACACACACACAAACACATTTATAAGCAACCACATCCGATATACACCTAAGAGACCCCCCCACACACATAATTTCCTTCCCACACACCTATATACAACCTATTACATACATACACACGGACACTCAGGTATCATCAACATCCTACACACATCTATAAAAAAAAACTGCATCCACTCCTATAAAAACATTTAATGTATACACCCACACACATTCCCCTATCACACGGTTGAATATCCATATAGACATTACTCGATGTCTTCTTCTATGCACTGTGTCCCCTCAGGACGTTGGTAATCGTTGCTCTCCACTATTTCCTGTTCGCTACATAGGGCAGGCGTTATTTTCCTCTGTCCCTCTTGCTTTCAATCTGCCCTGCGTGTATCAGATTTTCCAAGCACTTTATCCTCATTATGTACCCTAGAAATATCAACTACCGTTTTCTGATGTCAATTGTAAGGATCCTTTTTGTTTCCATTTTCTCTAAAACTTCGTCGCTTGTCACATGTTCGGTCCACGGTATTCTCAGCATCATTTTGTAGAAGTATATTTTTGTTGCTTCAAGTCTCTTCTCCATCTGTGAGGAGATTGTCCAGTATTCACTAGTTAATAGGAGGACTGATATTACATAACAGTTCAGTAATTTTTTCTTTGTTTCTGTTGCTTCAAGTCCCTTCTTCATCAGTGACGAGATTGTCCAATATTCACAGGCATATAGGAGGACTGATATTTCATAAAAGTTCAGTACCCTCTTTTTTGCTTCTGTTGCTTCAAGTCTTCATCAGTGACGAGATTGTCCAGTATTCAGTGGCATATAGGAATGGTATTTTCTAACAGTTCAGTAATCTTTTCTTTGTTTCTGTTGCTTCAAGTCTCTTCTTCATCTGTAGGGAGATTGTCAGCATTCACTGGCATATAGGACTGATATTACATAACAGTTCAATAATCTTTTCTTTTTTTTTGTTGCTTCAAGTCTCTTCTTCATCTCTGAGGAGATTGTCCAGCATTCACTAGCATATAGGAAGACTGATATTACATAACAATTCAGTACTCTTATCTAAAAAGCACGAATATTTATCTACATTATTATATATATATATATATATATATATATATATATGTGTGTATATATATATATATATATATATATATATATATATATATATATATATATATATATATATATGCTTATTCAACCACTCTCGTTGTAGCATGGTTACTGAGAAATGTTGTAAAAACTTCAGCTTTTTTTTTTTTATCAAATATCCAATATAAATGGTGCATGCACTTTTGTTAAAGATTATTTATATGTATTCTACGTGCATATCAAGCTAATATATTTTAATTTGAAAAAAAAAAGAAAGGAAAACAGTAATTTCTCTTAGTTATCGACACAATATAGCGGAAGTCGCAAGCAAGTGAAACGGAAATTTTCCGTGATATCCTGTCGTAACTTCCAGGCATATTCTTTACTCTTTTGAATTCTTGTATATTCAGATTTTTACTGTCGTAATCGCCGTTACTTGTTGACGACAAGAGTCCATTAATAGCCTCTTCAGCTTGTGTGTTCTCTTTCGGTCACAAACTTAGCAACACGGAAAACTTTCAAACTCATTTTTTTTCTTTAAACTTTCATATTTTTTTTTTAAGTGCCGGCGCCATGTTTGTGAGTTAAATGTTGATGAAGAGGTAACTTAAAAAGAATTATACAGACGCGGCCATTCAGATCTACACGCAATAATATACAAGTACACTCTTACTGCGTATGGTTAAAAACAGGTGACTAGTTATAATTTGCACCGAATCAAGTTATGTCACTTTTAACGATATAACGAAATGGTGACGTTTCTGTACTGTGTGAAAATTTCCTGTTACCCGCAGAGGTAATACTTTGCAAAAAGTAGACGAAAATAGAAAAAGGCTTTCGTAGTTAGAGGTTAGGTAATAACTTGAATATTTCAGAACACTATTCATTAACAGCACACCAACAATTCAGACTGAGTTGACTGCGATTAATAACACGGTGGTTTTTAGTGAGTCACTGAAACGCTTTTAGTGACTCGATCTGGTTTATTTTGCTTTACGGCATATCAACATTTTCCGAGTTATTTAATGCCTAATTCAGTCGTTTTCATAATCAATTGATAAGTAGACATAGGCTCAGTTTATGCGAGAGTCACAAAGATAGACATCTATATGATTTGCCCGATATTAAAAAAAAAACAAAAAAAAACAGGTCCGTTTTCCATGAGTCAAAAGTAGGTTCAATTTGCCCGAGAGCCACAAAAATAGACACAGGAAAGATTTTTACGTGAATAAAAACAAAAAACAAAAAAAAAAAAATACGCAGACATAGGTCCGGTTTGCACGAGATTCAAAAATAGGCCGATTTCCGAGTTACTAATGCAGGCATAGGAACGGTTTGCAAGTGAGTCAAAAAGGCAGGCAGAAGTTTCTTTTTTGGCACGAGAGTCAAAAGGTTAGACATAAATACGACAAACAGGTGGTCCCTTTTTGCGGGAAGAGGTTACCGCTTTGAACAGACGTGCAGATGGTGTATTCTTAGATGTGGCACAAGGCCGAAATTATGAGGCGCCTAATGACGATTGAACTCACTATTCAGTCGTAATTGTTCTAGCGAGACAAGATTGCTAACCATTACACCACGTCGAAGTGTCCCCGTTCCTTTCGTACTATGGCATACTTTTGCACTCTAAACAAATAAAACTGCATGTTGTGGGGAGCGGTAGAGTAATGGATTGTGCCTAAGACTGAGAAATCGGTAGAACCGAGTTTTAAATTCCAGTTGAGCTAATTATATTCTATGCGTTAATACTCGTGGGAAAGGTATGAACCCATCTTTTATCCCCACAGCTATAGGTAAATAGCAGGACAGACTTGGGTGGCATCCAGTCTAGGAGAGTGAAAACTCTGAATTCAAAACTGTATATAGCCCCGACAAAGCACATAATATGCAGCTAAGGAAAGGGGTCATTCGCATTGACTCGATGATCCCGACTACGGTCGACTCCATTAATTTACACAAATACAGATTGCAGCAGAAATGCCTCCTATATTTTAAAGGTTGACAAAAAAGAACATGGTCACTGCTATTAAAAAAATATTTCACTTTTATTTAAACAAAGTGCTGCTATTTTTATTGCTTTGGTTTATAAAATGTCATCCTCTAAATGGTAGCGTCTATTCTCCATACACTGTTGTATGAGATTCCTAAAATGTTGCATCACCCGGAAGTTCGAGCGCTTCGAGGTCTTCCAGGTGGCTTACTTTTAAGCGCTGAACCCGTGAAAAAAAAAAAAATGGTAAGACGCCATTGCTACTTGCCTAAGTTCACTAACACCACACAGTTAACAGTTTAAGATTTGGGATTTATTTCTGTCGCACACTGTAGTTTGACTAAAACCAGAATCTCCTCGTAGTTACTTGACCAATCATGAATGTTAAAGAAAACATTTTATGGGATGCTTAAACGCCTCAGGGTATTGAAGTTAATGTGGATGTGATGCATTAACTTCGGATTGCTTGAAAAATATAAAACCTACAGATCTACAGTACTTGACGACATTTAAACCTACTCTTCTTTTTTCGCAAAAGGTCCCCAAAATATCTCCTAAGTCTATATTAAGTTGAGTTACCTGAAATACATAAGCTAATGTTTATCCAGATCCTGTAGATTACCAGTATTTTTTCTTAGCTTAAATCTATAATAACGTATTATTAAATGCATATAGTAGGGCCATTATAAACGTCGTTGAATTTCTACAATAACCTATTTAACTGGAGTATACGATCATCGAATTCGTCTATTGATTTTCAAAGCAGGCAGACCCCCTTCGCTTATAAGACAGGCGCAATACACTCTTTCTATTGTTTCTGTGAAGGGATGGCAAGATAAGGACGAAGGGATGATACAGAGTCAAAGTTACTGATAAAAAAGGCAAGAATATGTGGAGAGCTATGACCGCCCACATCCTGAATACAGCAAAAGAAGGACGCAATGACAGAAATGTCGACTTCGCACTGATCGTTACTAATTTTATATAAATATTTACTATGTTAATAATTACTGATTGTTACTAGTTTTATATAAATATTTACTATGTTAATAATGGTTTTTGAAGTGTTTGTGACTATTTTAAGATATACTGAGATCCTCAAACACTAATAGCAATAATATTTCTGAAGCAGGCATTTATAAAATAAATTGCCAAAACTGTTCCTCCCAATATATTGGAGAAACAAGTAGAAATTAAAAAAAAAAAAACAAACAAAAAAACAAACAAAAAAACGAAAAAAAAAACGCATTTATGAGCACAAAATAGACCTCCCAAAAACAACATAGCTAATGCACCAATACATAGAAATAAATTCAACCACAATTTTGATTTTAAAAATGCTACATTCATAAAAAAAGAAAATAACTCACTCAGAAGGAAAATCCTCGAGAGTGCCGCCATTGAATGTTACCCAAATATTAATCTACGTCCAGGCCTTTTCCCTATTTCACCTTTCTTAAGAGAATTACTACTCTCCCCCAAAAACGTAGAGAACAGTATCAAGAAATCAAAAGAAAATGGTTGAATCAATCAACACAGCAATAAAAACAATATCTCCACACGTGACAGTAATTGACATAATTTCAGTTAACAGTATGAAAATAGCGTTCTCTAAATTCTTCCAGTTGCTAAGGACATTTTGTTTTGTTATTATTAGTTACTTTGTTTAATAAATTCATTTCGTTTCGCCTTGAAAAAGTCCACGTCGGACGAAACGCGTCGGCAACTATTACAGTTTTCCTATTGTCTTTTACATTTATAAATATTGTCTTTTTCTACAGGTTAACTCTGAGAAATCTTTCATAGATTACTATGTTAATAATTACTGATTGTTACTAGGTTTATATAAATAATTATTATGACAAAATTATAATAATTATTAAAAAGCTTTTACCACGACAAGGTCTTGAGTTCAATTCTAAATGACAATAGCGTTGGCAGACATATTTACACTCTGAGTACTCTAATTTTTGTACAGTGTCAAATGAAATGATATAAATTAGACGTTTATTTTTAATTAAAGTATAAGAAGTTTTCGATTTTACGTAATTCGGATAAAAGAGTTTGTACTTTCATTTATATAATATATTTATTTAATAGGCGAATGTTTTTATTTAATGGAAATTTCCTCTAAAATAGTATAAATAAAAATTCAAATAAGTTTCATTTAGAGTAAGATGATTGCTATCTGCTTCGTACAACGTGGTACATAAGGCACATGGTTAGGTTTCTGTTATCGATTTATTCCACAGGGATAGTGTGATTGGCTTCACGGCTAACATCCTGAGGATGGTTTGTTTTTTTTATCGGGGTTTTCCATATATTAGACGACCACGCGTTCCCATGATAACGAATTCCAACTACACGGTTTTTAGAATTCAGAGATTTCCTTTTTCTATACTGTTTGTCAAGTGGAACAGCACGGTCTTCCCTACTATTTAACCTATAACTGGGGGAAAAGAGATGGATTCATACTATTCTATTTGCGCGAAATTGAATGTCACAAAATTAGCTGGTATGCAAACTCGGCTCACTGATTTCTCATTCCATCATCATTACACCTCCAGCACACCCAAGTGACACGCTAATGGACATTAATTAATCCATACCTTTTTTGTCAGTTTCATACTCGATATAAACTCTGATTATCTTTTGCTGTTTTGAAAGGAGGCTTATTCGTTATATTGCTTATTCAACGATGGCAGAATAATGACCTGTGAGTTGCAATATAAAGCAAAATATTTTGAAGGTTTGTATATATTTGTAATTGATTAAGTGTTGCTTTACTCCGCTACTGAGTTCGTCGGATTGAATGGGGTCAGATGGAGCTGAGGGCAACTTTTATGGATGCAGGTACACTTGAGAAAAAGGAGCCGTGGACGAAAATAAACGTTGTGAAACTGTAGGTATAACTCCTTTCATAAGCTCACTTGAACAGGAAAAACACGATGCACAGAAAATGTCTTTCATTTATACTTTGTGTCAACAAAGAGAGAGTGAGAGAAAGAGAGATGGAAAGAAAGAAAGAGGAAGAAAGAGTGAGTGAGAGAAAGAGAGAGAAATAGAAAGAAAGAAAGAAAGAAAGAAAGAGAGACGTGTTATTTTCAAAACATTGACAAACATTGGGGTAAACAGTAAGAAATTGTGTCGCTTAAAAGCTTAGCCCCAGGTGAATGTATCCACGTCCTATTCCGTATGAATTCCATATCAATCTATCTCTCCTCTTTCTCGTCCCCTCTTTCTCTCTCTATTTCTTTGTCTCTCTCTCTCTCTCTCTCTCTACCTCTGTCTCTCTCCATATATATATATATATATATATATGTGTGTGTGTGTGTGTGTGTGTGTATGTGTATATATGTGTGTGTGTGTGTGGACAAAGAAATCGTCACTGCATGGTGACTTTCAGTTTCACGCCTCAAGTATTGATTTCTATATTTACACTACAACAGCGCTCTATTGAGCTGTTATTCCATAAATATAGCAAATCTTAAACCATATGTGTGTGTGTGTGTGTGTGTGTGTGTGTGTGTTAATGTGTATGCGTGTTGTTTAAAATTAGGTTTACTTATAGACGAATAGTGCTCAGTATCAGATACAGGGCGTTTATAACTATAGACTCAACGGACATGGGTATCACACCACATGGTAACTATCAATTTTACTCTTCAGTGCGATTTTCAGGCAAAGTTTTAGTCTGAAGATCATATGAAAGAATGAAACTGTTATCATGCTATGTTCATTCCTATAACTGCATCTTCTATTCTCTCTCTCTCGAAGACGTTTTAGCTAAATATGACAGACAAGGAAAATTTGATTATTTTTTTTATAGTTTTTCCACCATTCTTCCATTTTTCCGTTTGGTGGATAAGATGTATAATATTATATAAAACATCTGTCACACAGTATAAATCTCACCTTATTCAACAACAGAAATATTTATTATTTTTTTTAAATAAAAATTCAAATTCCAGCCGCACTCATCTCGCGAATCTTGGAATAAACGTTCCTTCTAGTACTCAAACAATACAACTTAAACAGTCAACTATGTAAAGAAATTAACAACACCTAAAAATAAAATCCTTTTGAAAATGGTTAACGAAGTGGAGGAAAGCGCCCGGGACAATGGATAATACGGATAATATTTGCACTCCCTCAGTGGCGTAGCTAGAGTAAACGTCACCCGGGGCGGTCCGCTCAAATGTCACCCCAATGACCCCGATTCACCCTATGCTGAATGGTTAGCTGTAGCTAAATTTTCATACATACTCTACCTCTACTTTACTCTACTGACCGGTACGTTACTGTTTACATGTATGATCCAAGACAAAATCCAATACCACAAAATAATCAGTTCAAATCAAAGGCTGAAAACATTGCTATTTTTCCTACTCACAAATTTCCCGACAATTTGTTAGAAAACTTCTGACGGGGGGGACAAAACTGGGGGTCATAAATTATTTCTGGGGGTCATATGCTCGCCTGCGAAATCCTATGTCTCCACCAATGTTTTCAGACTATTTTTGGCACCTTATCCTGGTTGAAAAATTTTGTTGGGGGTGACATTGTGTCACCCCTCCTGTGCTGGCACCCGGAGCGGTCCTCCCCCTCTCCCCCCTTATCTACGCCACTGCACTCCCTTATTGCCACCAAACATAAAATATATACGAATGTTGGAAAAATTAAGAAAAAAATTAATCAAATTTTCCTGGTCTGTCTTATTTAACGGAATACATTTAAAAGAAATATTGCTGCCCAAACATATATATATATATATATATATATATATATATATATATATATATATATATATATATATATATATGTGTGATGGGTAAATTTTTATTTTTAATTTCACATGCGCGGTGTTTGTTTATGATTTTGTCGACTGCACAGTATAGTAGGGTCATCGTCTGTGAGAAAAAAGTGCACCATGACACAATTCACTCCGACAGAAATTTGGAAACAGCATGCTATATTGCTTGGCATTCGCACCGGAAGGTCCAGTACGAACATTTCACAGTGTTTGGGTGTCAATCTGAGGACAGTGCAGAGGTTTAGGAAAGATTTGGATGAGTCTAATGATGACTACGAAGGTGTTGGGAGTGGTCACTAGTGATGGCGACATTATGCCTTCATTCATCTTTCACCAGGGCCTCAGACCCAACATGGATGCCTACATCAAGTGCATTTGAGAAAGTAGTGCTTCTTTGGGTCAAGCGAGTAGTTGCTGGAAGACCCTATGTCTGGCAACAGGACTTTGCACCATACCACACAAGCAGGAGAACTCACTCATGGCTGTCAGACAATTTCTGCGATCACAGCACCCCTTACATCTGACTACCTAATTCCCCAGACTGCAAAACCCTTCATTATTATGTGTGGGACGCAGTTGATCGAGAATCCAACAAAACTCCTTATAATACCAAAGATGAACTGAAGGCAAGAATTATGGCAGTATTCACCGACTTAAACAAGGAGACTTCCTCCAAGAGCTGCAAGAGATTTCGAACGTGTCTGGATGCCGTGGTTGAAGCTAATGGCGATTTTATGGAATAAATTTACTCTTTAGTATTTCAAGATATTCTTGTGAAATTTTGGTAAATATTTCTGTTAAAATGAAGTGTCAGTGTTATTTTCATTTTGCGTCATTTCGACGTCAATTTAATACACACACACACACATAGATGTGTGTGTGTGTGTGTGTGTGTGTGTGTGTGTGTGTGTGTGTGTGGTTGTTGCTTTTATCACTTGGCTGTCTAATGAGAAAACACATCCTTGTCTTACGCCCCTTTCTATTTTTGTTTATCCATTGAATGCATTTTCGCTCCCAGTATAAATTCTGTGTTATTCTAACATCATTTCCCAAATAGATCAAGTTTTCTTCGCAGTTCACATAGATCCTATACGATCACCGAATTTAAGCAACCTGAGCCTGGTTAGTACCTAAATGGATGACCGCTTGGGAATACCAGGAGCTGTAAACTTGGATGTGCAGGTGGTGTAATGGATAATGGTTAGAAATTGTTAATCGTAGAGCCGAGTTCCAATTTCAGTATGTTTCGTTATATACACTTACGCGCAAATGCCGTTAGAAAAAGTATAACTTATTCTTCTCCCTCCACCTCTGGGTTAATTAGTAAAACTTGTATCACAAAATTATTATTATCTCGAAAAAATTCCAACAAACAAAAATGTTTTCTGGCTTTCAAAAAAATTAAAAAAATGCGAAGGGTTGATAATCCGTAGAAAATGAATCGTTCAATCAATCAAATTTTTTGTGTACTCTCATAAAACGTCGTTGTACAATGATGCCTACATTCATACTCTGGCTTCCATCTTCAATGTCCATTCAAGAACCATCAAGAGAACGGTGAATAAGTTTCAAAAAGAGGGAATAGTAGAGAGGAGAACTGGATCAGGAGGCCACAACATCAAGAGGGATAATCATGTCAACTTAGAGCCAAATACATTCTTATTGTTCAAAGTAGAGTCCAATAGTTTTATTAAAACCTAGGAGAATTCCAGTAAGATATCTTTAATCATTTCTAATATACAATTGTTCAAAGCTTAATCTAGCAAGTGGACAGTTTTGCTGTTACACGATTTGGACAATTTTGCTGTTACACGCTGTATGTTAATTTTCTGCCATTTAAATATAGTATTGAGCTTATTTATCTGGTGTACCTTTGTAGAATAATACCTTGTTTATTTTCAACTTTATTTAAATTATATGCTTTGATATGGGATATAGTGAGGGCCGAGTATTGTCGAGCATTATTTTACTTTTAGCGTTATGCTCCTTTGACGAGGCCCTACTGTTTCCCGTCATATTGAACACTTTCTAGGCGCGCATTTGATTTCTTTTCTGTTGAAGGCATAAATGATCTTTTTTCCTCTCACCATTGTTCAGTTGGGAAGACACAGTGAGGCTGACACAAAACGATTTTAACCTGTTCTCTTTCTAGCTGAATAACTGAAAGGGTTTTTCACTGATTCTTACGAACAATGGAGTCAAGATGGCGAAACGTCTTAGCTGGAAATCTGGGAAGAAGAAATTCAATTAGTTTAGTGCTTTTTTAGATATTAAACATTTTGTGAGATGGACACGATTTAAGCAATTTTGCAGTCACATCCGGTATATATATATATTCGTTTGCACAGTTTCGAGTGCATCCTTGCTTCTAACCTGTCGTGCTTGTTCTTTTCTTTTTTTAGTGTTCCTCCAAATTAGCATGTGTTTCTTCGTCTTCTTCTTCTGATGATGAAGATTATTATTATTATTATTATTATTATTATTATTAGCAGTTTGGTGTCGCTGCTGTGCAACGATTAACAACCGAACTCGTTCTCTAGTTTGATTCTCATGGGCTGTCCTATTCGAATGACTTAAGAAAACTTACTAAACAGTTGTGAGTAGTGAATTAATGAGTGTCTACTTTTTAATTTGCACTCACCCTAAATACATGTCGATAAATTTCTTTCTGTCTTTCTTTCTTTTTATTATTTCGCTCTTTATCGGTGCTTCCTTTCTTTCTTTCTTTCTTTCTTTCTTTTTCATTAATCATTCCCAAAGTTCATTTCGTTGACAATGAACAATTCTTGATTTTTGGGGGCGGGCAAATCCTCTAATTTATTTTCTGAAATTAACAACGATTTCCAATTTTCACATCACTTTTCCCGTTTTAAATTTAACACACGAGTTTTTTTTCTATTTCTCTTTGTTCTTTGTTACTCTCCGTCGCATCTCTCATTCTCCATATTTCTTCATTTTTAAAGCTAAAAACAGTGAAAGAAAGAAAGAAAGAAATCTTACTAATGAAGTCAATTAAGTTTAACTTTCTTTTTCACAAAATTCCCCTGGCTCATGCCGCAGGGTGGAATTTTGTTTTGTAGATTCGGCAAATCTGAAATATTAAAGACATTAAAATGTCCTACCCTCCTATTCCTCGCTATTATATCTTCTTACTTCTCCCATTTCTTCTTTTTCTTCTTCTTTATTATTCCGAACCATTAACCATCTCCTTCCTCTCTCTACCTAATCCCCTTTGCTCTCCTCTTCATTCTTCCTCTTTCTCAACTTTTCAATTACGCTTTTGAAAATTAAGACAAAAGTACTCCACTAG